TCCATTCAATTGATTATTTAATAACGATCTGTAGTGTTGCGATTTGGTCTGTGTACGACCGACCTTTACGGAATCCGGTCTATTGATCTCGAAGTTGGGCATCTACTGGCTCTTACATCTGGCTCAGCAACACTCTATGGAAACTTTTCCTGATACCGACGGTAGTGTGACTCCTCTGTAGTTTTTATATTTGTCCAGATCTCCGTTCATCCGTATCTTGATGAGATGTCCTTCTCTCCAGTCTGTCTGCACTTCTTCTTCCCAAATCTTCCTGAATAGAACATGGAGCATAATTTCAGTTATTCCTGTCTGACCTTAGTGGTTTGACTGGCATATTGTCAGGTGCTACTGTTTTCCCACCCTTTATTTGTCTGATGATCATCCTGATTTCTTCGATCGTTGGTGGGAGGTCTGTGCGTGCTGGTTCAATGTTTGGTGGACTCAATGGAGCTGGCTCATTCAAGAGTTCTTCGAAGACCCCTACCCACCTGTTCCGATGCTCTTGAACCTCCATGATTATTAGGCCTTCTTCGTTTTAGCTTTCTGTATTTCTCTGCCAGTTTCTTCGTTTTGTCGTATAGTTCTCTCACACTTTTTTCTCTAGTAACACCTATATTCGAAGCTTTCTCCAATCAATCGAAATCAGAAGTCAGTTGCGAAGAGTTCGGAAAGATATATTTGATACGTTATCAATATATCGAGTAGCGTTTGCTCTAATCTGGCTTGTGAACGTAGGAGCTGTGTCCCAAGCTGGTTCGTAATGTGATCTGTTACGGATGCATGACCGAAAGCCTTTAGTTAAACAAGTCCACCTAAATAAATATGGTCAGCATCCAGTGTCGAACACCTAATGAGCTATTGATTTTGGGGAATTATTTACAGCTACAATATGTTATTATTATTATTATTATTATTAATGGCTTTATTCAATATTATAATCTGGTACAATATAGAATTCTCAGCACGAGTTATTTCAACAAGTTTTTTACCAAAAAAGGAAACCCGAAAAAACTAACAAACAAAAAAAACAGAAATAAAATTTAAAAAAAAGGTCTAGGAAAAACCGACTTTATACAAATTATCGAATTTGAGACATGCTTAAGAAGACAGGTTATTTACTAGGTCAACTCTAACAGCCTGTTCGTCACAAAGTAAATTTGCTAAGTAAGGTATTACAGAACTTTTATAGATTTGCTTGCGTGCATGGATTTTAATGTATTTACGTCTCGTTCGACCAGAAGATATACAAGGAGAAAGATATGAATGAAGCGGATGGTTAGTATCTGATAAGATAACACCTGCCAAGAGTTTGCAACACTTAAGATGTCTATCCACAAGCATATTAACAATGACTTCAAAAGATTCACCACATACCTTGCAAACCGCCTTCAGCATTCTACGCAAAATAGCAAAGTCTTTTCTCAAAAGCCCAGTAAAGAATAATGGAGAACAATATAAAATAATAGGTAATATGCAGGAATTTACAAATTGTAAGAGTAAATGGCGAGTAATCCCAAAAGCATGCAGCCTCTTTATGTAGTATGTCAAGCGGTAAACTTTTTTCGATAATAGTAAAACATGAGAAGACCAAGAAAGATCAGAGGAAAAAGTAACACCAAGATATTTGACCCTCGACACTGTGTTTATTAAGGAGTCTCCAATGGCACAAGCATTATGGGATCCCAACATAGAGTATAGGTTCTGTCCATGTCTCAAGCTAAAATTAACAGCTTGACATTTAGATGGATTGAGTAAGAGACCATTACCAACAGACCACCTTTCAATACGAGATAAAAACTCATTCATTTCTATAGGATGTAAGGAGGTAGAAATTGGAATACATACAGTGAGGTCGTCCGCATATTTTACAAAAGTGTTTTCTGTGGAAGATGGCAGATCATGCAAAAAGAAAGAGAAGAGCAGAGGTGAAAGAACAGCTCCTTGTGGCACACCTACAGTAGACAGTAGAGATGTTGAACACTTTCTTTCAAATACAGTGTACTGTTCTCTTCCAGAAAGGTAGGAGCGTAGCCAATTGGTTATCCAGCTGTCAGTGTCGATGCGAATCAGCTTGTTAAGTAAGGGGTGTCTTGGAATAGAATCAAAAGCAGAAGTAAAGTCCAGAAAAGCGCATCTAACATACTTCTTACCCTTTTCCAACCCGAACACTATATTGTGATGCAGAACAGCAACGGCATCTAATGTGCTTCTTTTGCATTTGTAAGCAAACTGAAATGGATCACAGTACTCTTTTATTGAAGGTTGAAGTGGTTGTATCAGTAATTTTTCCATTATTTTGAGGAAAGGTGAGGTTATTGCAATGGGTCTAAGTTTCGCATTTTTATCACCAGAAGCTTTCTTAGGTATAGGGATTATCTTTATCTTTCTCCACATTTTCGGTAAGACATTAGTTGAGAAGGATCTGTTAAAGATATTTGTTAATGGATAACATAAAACATCAGCACATTTTTTAAAAAGAGGTTTGGGATACAATCAGGTCCTAAACATTGAGATGAATTCAGAGACTGGAGACATTTCCGGACATCATTTTCAGTAAAACTGGGGACACAACTATTCTTCAAACCCTTGGATATAGGGAGCATGATGTCAGATGACTGATGAATAAAGGACTTATTTAAGTCACAAACATTTAGCTGGTTTTCGCTTCTAGTCTGCCTGTCCCCTGTAATTTCTTTAAAGAGTTTCCACATACTTGGAGAGCTTCTACAAGATAGGAGTTTTTGAGTGAACACACAGTTGAGACGTCTAATCTCTTGGTTTATTTGATCATTTAACTTACGAACTTCAATAGTGTTTTTCTCCTTGTACATCCTTTCTTTTACCCTCCGTAGTCGTTTTAGTTGTGGAGATGTAAGTCGATCAAAACTTAAAAAGAAGGTTTCGGTAGGACAGCAAATATCAAAACATGCGTTTAGTTAACCGTAGTCAGTTCGACTTGCGAATATTGTTCACGAATAATGTGTAGCAGAGAAAACATGTCAATTCCAAAATAATGTTAAAGTTATTACAAAAGGGAGTCAAGTTGTTAACATTCCGAAATATAAGTTATACACAAAGCAAAATATGGGATGCTACTTAGATTTTCAGAAGTGTGCTTGTTTGATTTTTTTCGGTCTCGTAATCCACAGTTATAAGTAGCCACTGAATGCAAATATGATATAATGAAAGGTGTGCAACTAGAGTAATCACGTAACGAGAATATCAGTGAGACATATAAACGACAAATATACGAGCGTTCTGTCATCGTGAAAGCTAATAAGTGAGAACGGGAAGTACGTGTGTGCAGCAGTGAGTTTGTGAGAGATAATCTTCGTCATGTCATGAGAGTACAGAACGAGATCAAAAGATCAAGGTCGAAAAATTAAAACAACACCTTTACAGCCCATAATATCACTTGTACAAAGCATTCGAAATAACGAAGAAAAATGCGAATAATAAGAAAACCTCATCACAAAGTAAGTTCGCATCCACTATCTCTACAAATGGGATGCGTTGGATGGAATCTTAAAAATCACAAATAATGACAAAAGTTACTACAAATTAGGTTTATCACAATTATTTCCACATAACTATCTAAACCTATCTAAGGATGTTTTCTATTAACGTACTACTGCATTACTCAGTGGAAAGTGTGCTGTCCTGCGGAGGTCGTTTGACTTCACCGCTGTTGGACTTCGTTAGCGCACCAATAATATATCACCTGGTTGACCTTCAAGTGCACAGTCTGCTCTATCCGGTGTGAATATATTTCGCTACAGTTCTGCGTACTTTCCTCGTTTATGTTAGATATTTGTAGATCTCGCTCAAAGTTAAGTTCCGGAGTGTTGATTCATTTACGTGGTTATGATGTAGCACCGTTCTGCATGCGATTCGCCCACAAAAATGGTCTCATTCCACAATGTAAGACATAAGTATGTAACTGCTCTTCCTAGGTATTGACGTGTGCAGACACTAACTTAGTATCCGCGTAAAGGAATGCAATTAGGAGGCTAAAGCTTCTCGGTTGCGGACAAGTGGTCAAATGTCAACTCTAGTCCTCTATCAGTTGAGCTCTGTGTTCAGTCTTTTAAATCCATCTGTCGAAATTGCTATAGCAATGCTATAACATTAGGTCGCGACAGTTGATTATTTGTGCAAAAGTTCTTACTTCAGGCGGATATGGTTGGTAGGCCGATGATCTCTTGGTTAGTAGATGTAATCACCTGAAGTCTGATCTGAGTTGCCTTTCAAACAGTACATACAGTTCGCATAGTTTTTAAGTTGGGATACGTATTTTATGGTTTCTGAACTCCCAACTATTTATGAGAGCTCGAAATGTTAAACAATGTCGAGGATGCTATAATTCTGTATTATTTGCCGATGGTTTGGCTGATTGGAGTCGAATTATCAGTTTATGATGTGATATTTTTAGGATTGATAGTTCTGTCGTGTCAATACTCAATAATTCTTCACGGCTTGGGAAGGTTCCAAGTTGTCATATCATTCAATAACTTGAGGATCAGAGTGGAATCCAATGCTAGTGCTTCAGGTTTCTGCTCTCATTAGCGGTATGACTCAGGACAAAATTCATTTTAGTGTTGTTCTTATTCTAGTCGTTATCTTAATCCTTACCAGTGAAGTCTCAAAATATTTTCTCATGTTTTTTCGCAATATCATAATTGAGTCTTGTGGCTCATTTATTATTTTTTTACCAGGTTTTGTGTGATAAATGATAGACAAGTAATCGATCCAACCGATTGTTAATGGTACAAATGTACGATAGCTTGCGGATAAACATCTTAGTCGTCAGGATTCCGAAATCTTATTTTTGTTATCTTAATTTGCTAACCTCACCAAACTAACCGGTTATGGCACCGAAAATCAGTTAGTATTTTTTCAGATGTGTTTTATAAGCAGTTTTTATATTATATTGGCCTTCATTCGTGTAACTGTTGTATCTTGAAATATCTTCCAGCTAACTAAAACAGTTACAAATTACTATGGAATTTCTGGATATCAATCTGGATGAAGTTGCATCTGCTTTTCATGAAGCTAAACGTTTTGGGAAAAGGTGATTTGTTTTAAGATTGGTAATTCTTTTTACTTCAGATGTAAAGAAGCTCCTGATGGTTCAATCGAAGTTAAACGATGTCTCAAAAAGTTTCCAAAGTTCCAAACATACGTACTTTTATCAGGTAGCGGTTGCATTCATGAGGTTAGTGTTAACAGCTGAAACTATTGTTAGTTAGGTTGTCTATCCTGCTGGTGGTGCACTCAATGAATTAAAAAATCTTGCGCACCCTGCAAGGAATTATCCCTTTACTTTGGATCCATTTCAGCAACGTGCCATCCTGTGTATTGAAAACGAACAGTCTGTTATGGTATCTGCCCATACATCTGCTGGTAAAACCGTAGTTGCTGAGTAAGTCATGTGGCTCAGTATATTCATGATTTTTTAGGTACGCGGTTGCTAAAAGTCTGAAGCAAAACCAGCGCGTTATTTACACAACACCTATCAAGGCCCTGAGCAATCAGAAGTTTCGCGAATTTTCGGAGATTTTTAAAGATGTTGGCCTAATGACTGGAGATATAACTATCAACCAAGAAGCAACTGTTCTTATAATGACAACAGAAATATTGAGATCTATGTTGTACAGGTAAGTGGCAGGGTTGGATTAATTCTGCTGAATCAAAGTTGGTCGATCGATTCCTGCGTTTGTGCTGAAGCTTTTTAATATTACTGATAGATTCACAATTTTTTCTAAGCATACGGTGACATTTCAGTCAGTCAGTCAGTCAGCTACAACGTAGGACCAGGCACATTTATGCATCGGTCCAAGTTGCCATACCTCGTTAGCACAACAAGATGAACACCGGATTCATAGAAGTAATTAATTTAGTGGTGGTAGTAGTATATAAATTATAGGTTGTATATAAGGATATAGTACAGGAAGGAAGAGAGATATGAAGCAATTTTAGTCTCAAGGTTTAAAGGAAGATAAAGAGTGTATACACCTACGCCATTGTGATCGATTCTGAGCCATGTCACCTAGAGTCTCCAACCATTAATTACGATAGTCACGAGGACTCCAACCAGGTAGTCTGCATCTACCAACATGGCTCAGACTAGAAGTTAGTGACTTCAAACACTGATGCCATGTTTTGGTTTATTATGGTTTATTATTTATGCATTTTCAGATGTCTGGATTGTTGAAAATTATTCGATGCACACTACCCTAATCAATGTCATTGCACACATTCTCGACATACAGACTTATACAGTTTATGGTCGTGCAATGCCTATCGGAGCAGAATAGTCATTCAGGAAAGTTACACTCAGCTGTGTTTATAATAAATAGTGACTTGAAACTTTCTTATTTTCCCTCATTTTAATTATAAGTACTTGTAGAGGTCATCATTACGTCGATGTAGTCAAAAATTTTATGTTTCTCGGTGATGGTAGATAAAACAAGACGGCTTACGTCGATCTAGACCATCTTTGGTGCTGTGTTGGCGTTGATCCAGCCTTGGAAGTCACGTTGGTGAAAGTAGTTCAACTCTTAGCTTGTGAAACTCAGCCCTTTATGGTTGATGATGTTTAACGAATCTTTGTGCTTGATAATTTCCGTCTCCAAGAGACTACTTACATCCGATATAAACGCTGTGTTAGTGATGCCAATGTACGGTAGTGTTTGGGTGTACCTAATATACTCCATCTAGTATCATCTTAAAACATCGGTTTTAATGATACCGAAGCTAGCCTTGTATAGATCATTTATCCTAAAACCTAGTCTGTATTCTATGCGAAAATCCGAGAATATACATTTTCAAATTAAAGCAGATTGCTTGTTTTTTTCTTTCAACGCTTCTAGCCCGATCGAAATTAAATTAACACTTACTATTGTGGTGGCCATTAATAAGCTAGTTTAATCTATAGAAATGTAAATAAACATATTTTGATTCTTGGTGTTGCATATAGTACTGATTCGTTTGCAGTGGTGTAGGTTCATTCACTTCTTGTCTTCAGTTTTAAAATTACATCGTACCTTTTTTTTGTTTCATTCTCTAATTAGGTTGTAATGTTAGATGTTTTCTACCGCAACTGATACGGTTATTGGTCTTGTTTTGATAATTTCATCTTTTGTTGATATGGTTTAGCAACGTAAGCCTATCCACATGTGGGCCATGTTCTTTACGGTTTCTGACTATCTACTTTTGCATATTCTCTACATCCTTTAGTGAAAATTCTTATTTTTGGAAGTACTTCATAGCTACGTGATTATTTAAAGGTGGCTATTATAATTTTCAGAATTCAGTCCAGCATGAACGAATAATTTAATCCAAACAGTTTGTTAGGACTAAAGTACAACTAATGGTAATTCCGAAAAAATCAATTGTGTTAGTTTTTCATTTCAATTAATTATCAAAGCATTTTCTTGAGCATATCCAATAATGATGCAAATACAAATGATCATTTCTTGATAAACACTGACGAAATAAAGCGATAAACTTCGTAGTTTTTAAAATGTGAAATATGGCTTTTACTAGTTACAATTTTAATGAACTTGTGAAGCAATAGTTAGGAGCAAACGATAATAGGCTTTTAAAATTCTTGGTGACGTGCTGGTAATGGTTTGCTGCAAGGTTTTTAAGTGAGAGGTGGCATGTGCTAGCTCATATCCAAGAAATGTTTATGAGAACTATACGTCTACGTCAATGCGCTAAATTGTCAATTGTCTTGCTTATGTTTCGAATCATTTTCAATTTAATGGTAAATCCTAACGCAAAGTAACATTAATTTCATATTTGATTTTGATTTTTTTCACAGTATTTTGGCGTTATGAGGTGCATGTAAACTGCCTAGTCTTATTTACGCCTGTTACCCCTCGTGGAGGAGAATAGACTGCACACCAGCATTTTCCATCCAACTCTGTCCTGAGAAATCCTTTCCCGTTAACATTCATCCTTTTCATATCTGCTTCTATTTCCCGGCGTAATGTGTTCTTTGGCCTTCCTCTTTTCGGCTTCCCTTCTGGATTCCAAGTGAGAGCTTGCCTCGTGATGCAATTTGGTGATTTCCTTAATGTATGTCCTATCCACTTCCAACGTCTTTTCCTAATTTCCTCTTCAGCTGGAAGCTGGTTTGTCCTCTCTCACAAAACGCTGTTGCTGATAGTATCCGTTGAGTATTTTGCGTAAACAACTGTTTATAAATACTTGTACCTTCACATTTCAGCTCCGTACAGTAGGACTGTCTTGACGTTCGTATTGAAGATTCTCACTTTGAAGTTAGTTGAGAGTTGCTTTGAGTTCCATATATTTTTCAATTGTAAAAATGCGATCCTTTCTTTGCTAATCCTCGCCTTTACATCTGCATCCGATCCTCCTTGGTAATCAATTATGCTTCCCAGGTACGTGAATGTTTCCACCTCTTCCAAAGTTTCACCAACAAGTGTGATTGGGTTAGTGTTCTCCGTGTTGTATTTGAGAATCTTGCTTTTTCGTTTATGTATGTTGAGGCCTATTGATGCAGAGGCTGCTGCTACATTTTTTGTCTTCGTCTGTATTTGCTCGTGTGTATGAGATAGGAGGAACTCCGCCTGTAGCTCCTCCAGGGGTTACTGCCGGTCCCAAGCCCGGGTAAAGGAGGAGGGTTGGGCATGGGGTTAGCGACCCCATCCCGTAGAAAATCAACTCGCTAAAAAAACGCTAATCATTCAAACCATTCAAACTCTGCCCTGGGAGTAGAAGGAAAAATGACGTCTCATGATGAAAGCCGAGTTCATTCGGAAGTCATGAGGCCGATGCACCTTCTTACAACCAGAGCGACAATTTTTATAGGTACATGGAATGTCCGGACAATGTGGGAGACCGGAAGAGTCTTCCAAATTTCTGCGGAAATGAGGAAATACAACCTGGAAGTGCTTGGAATCAGTGAAACACATTGGACGCAGGTTGGACAACAACGACTGTCTTCAGGGGAACTTCTGTTATACTCCGGTCATGAAGAAGAAAATGCCCCACATACACAAGGAGTTGCATTTATGCTGTCTAGAAAAGCACAAAATGCACTTATAGGATGGGAATCTCATGGACCGAGGATCATCAAAGCCTCCTTCAGAACAAAGAGAGAGGACATTACAATGAACATCATCCAATGCTATGCGCCGACCAACGACTACGATGAAGACGCTAAAAACCAATTCTACGATAGGCTGCAGTCAATCTTCGAAAAGTGCCCAACCAAGGACCTGACCATTCTAATGGGAGATTTCAATGCAAAGGTTGGAAAGGACAACACTGGATACGAAGACGTCATGGGACAACATGGACTGGGAGAAAGGAACGAAAATGGTGAGAGATTTGCAAACCTATGTGCCTTCAATAAACTGGTCATAGGTGGCACCATATTCCCACACAAAAACATACACAAAGCCACTTGGATTTCACCGGATCACACTACACAAAATCAAATCGACCATGTCTGCATCAACAAAAAGTTCAGGAGGACGATGGAGGATGTGAGAACCAGAAGAGGAGCTGATATAGCATCCGATCACCATTTGCTGGTCGCCAAGATGAAACTAAAACTCAAGAAGCACTGGACAATGGCGCGGACAACATCACAAAAGTTTAACACGGCCTTTCTTCGAGATGCTGACAAACTCAACGAATTTAACATAGCCCTCAGCAACAGGTTCGAGGCCTTTCATGACCTACTCAATGGAGAGGGAACCAGCATAGAGAGCAGCTGGAAAGGTATCAAGGAGGCAATCGTTTCAACATGTCAGGAGGTTCTGGGCCAAAAGAAGCACCATCACAAGGAATGGATCACTGTTGGTACACTGGATAAAATTGAAGCAAGGAGGAACAAGAAGGTAGCAATCAATATCAGCCGAACAAGAGCAGAAAAAGCCAAGGCACAAGCCGAATACACAGAGGCAAACAAGCAAGTGAAGAGGAGCATCAGGACCGACAAACGTAAATATGTGGAAGATTTAGCGATGACAGCGGAAAAGGCTGCAAGAGAGGGAAACATGAGACAACTGTATGATACAACAAAGAAACTTGCTGGAAATTACCGTCAACCAGAAAGACCAGTGAAAAACAAGGAAGGCAAAGTAATCAACGATATTGAAGAACAACGAAACAGGTGGGTAGAACACTTCAAGGAACTCTTGAATCGACCAGCTCCACTGAACCCACCCAACATCGAAGCAGCACCCACAGACCTCCCAATCGATATTGGCCCACCAACAATTGAAGAGATCAGCATGGCCATTAGACAAGTCAAGAGTGGCAAAGCAGCGGGACCAGACAACATCCCGGCAGAGGCACTGAAAGCAAATGTAACAGCAACTGCCAAGATACTCCACATCCTCTTCGGTAAGATTTGGGACGAAGAACATGTACCAACAGACTGGAAAGAAGGACTTCTCATCAAGATACCAAAGAAAGGCGATCTGAGCAAGTGCGACAACTACAGGGGCATCACTCTCCTCTCAATACCAGGAAAAGTCTTCAACAGAGTATTGTTAAACAGGATGAAGGATTCCGTGGACGCTCAACTTCGAGATCAACAAGCTGGATTTCGTAAGGATAGATCGTGCACAGATCAAATCGCAACTCTACGTATCATTGTGGAACAATCAATCGAATGGAATTCATCACTGTACATCAACTTCATCGACTACGAGAAGGCATTTGATAGCGTGGACAGGACGACACTATGGAAGCTTCTTCGACACTACGGCGTGCCTGAGAAGATAGTCAACATCATACGGAACTCCTATGATGGCCTAAACTGCCAAATCGTCCACGGAGGACAACTCACCGACTCGTTCGAGGTAAAGACCGGTGTTAGGCAAGGTTGCTTACTCTCACCCTTTCTCTTTCTCCTGGTCATCGACTGGATTATGAAGACGTCAACATCTGGAGGAAACCACGAGATACAGTGGACAGGCAGGATGCTGCTTGACGATTTAGACTTCGCGGATGATCTGGCTCTTCTATCACAAACGCAACAACAAGTGCAGGAGAAAACGACCAGTGTAGCAGCATCCTCAGCAGCAGTAGGTCTCAATATAAACAAAGGGAAAAGCAAGACTCTCCGATACAATACAATATGCACCAATCCAATTACACTTGACGGAGAAGCTTTGGAGGATGTGGAAATCTTTACATATCTGGGCAGCATCATTGATGAACACGGTGGATCAGATGCAGATGTGAGGGCGCGGATGGGCAAAGCAAGAGCAGCATACCTACAGCTGAAAAACATCTGGAGCTCAAAACAATTGTCAACCAACACCAAGGTTAGAATTTTCAATACAAATGTGAAGACAGTTCTTCTGTATGGGGCAGAGACGTGGAGAACTACGAAAGCCAGTATCCAGAAGATACAAGTGTTTATTAACAGCTGTCTACGAAAGATACTTCGGATCCGATGGCCAGACACTATCAGCAACAAGTTACTGTGGGAGACAACAAACCAGATTCCAGCGGAGGAAGAAATCAGGAAGAAGCGCTGGAAGTGGATTGGGCACACTTTGAGGAAATCACCCAATTGTGTCACAAGACAAGCCCTCACATGGAATCCTGAAGGTCGAAGGAGAAGAGGAAGACCAAAGAACACATTACGCCGAGAAATAGAGACAGACATGAGAAGAATGAACAAGAACTGGAAAGAACTAGAAAAGAAGGCCCAGGACAGGGTGGGTTGGAGAAAGCTGGTCGGCGGTCTATGCTCCATTGGGAGTAACAGGCGAAAGTAAGTAAAGTAATGAGATAGGAGGGCTAGGTCATCTGCAAAGTCCAAATTGTCTATTTGGTTCTGAGATGTCCACTGTATTCCGTGTTTCTCCTCAGATGTCGAAGTCTTCATAATCCAGTCAATCACCAGAAGAAAGAGGAAGGGAAATGCATCTGTCAGCTGTCCCTCATGCACAACTTTGCGCTGTAGTCCGCCGTATGAGTTCCGGATGATGTTGACAATCTTCTCAGGAACTCCATAGTGTCGAAGAAGTTTCCATAATGTTCTTCTGTCCACACTGTCGAACGCCTTCTCATGGTCAATGAAGTTGATTTATAGTCATGAATCCCACTTAACTGATTGTTCAACGATGACCCGTAGTGTCGCAATTCGGTCTGTGCATGACTGATCCTTCCGGAATCCAGTCTGTTGATCTCAAAGTTGGGCGTCTACTGCGTCTTCCATCCGGCTGAGCAAAACTCAGTTGAAAACTTTTCCTGGTACTGACGACAAACTGATGCCTCTGTAATTCTCACATTTACTGAGATCTCCTTTCTTTGGTATCTTGATGAGGTTTCCTTCTTTCCAGTCCGTTGGCACTTGTTTCTCTTCTCAAATCTTCTTGAATAGAAAGTGAAGCATGTTTACAGTTACTTCAATGGCTGACTTCAGCGCTTCAGCTGGTTTATTTTCAGGTCCTATCGCTTTTCCGATCTTGATTTATCTGATGACCATCCTGATTTCCTCGATCGTTGGTAAAGTGACATCTAGAGGAAGGTCTGTGTGTGCTGCCTCGATGTCCGGTGGATTCAATGGAGCTGGTCTATTCAGCAGTTCCTCAAAGTATTCTGCCCATCTTTTTCTCTGTTCTTGAATGTCAGTGATTGTCTTTCCTTCTTTGCCCTTTACTGGTATCTCTGGTTTACAAAATTTCCCTGCCAGTTTCTTCGTTGTATCATATAGTTGTTTCATATTCCCTTCTCTTGCAGCCTTTTCCGCCGTCGTTGCTAGTTCTCCCATGTATATCTGCTTGTCGACTTTAATGCTTTTCTTCACTTCCTTTGTGCTTCTGTGTAGTCTGCTTTTGCCTTGACTTACTGTGCTCATGTTCGACTAATTTTAGTTGCTGTCTTGTTCTTCCTTTCTTGAATCTTGTCCAGAGTTCCCATAGAGATACATTTATTTATTTATTTACTTTAATTAAACGCATAAATATTGGTACAAAAGAGCATCAGATACATATGTGCCGCACAAATTTCGTTTGGTTTGTGTGCCTAAACCGAAGCAGTGGTTTTCTTAGGGGGCCACAACCGGAGCCTTTGACCTAAAGGTCTGGAGCATCGTGAGTAGATGCAGTCCCCTGGTAGCCGGTGACCAATAATTGGTTCATACGCCATTCGTCCCTTCATGATACTGGAACCCATGTGCACCATTGGTTTGGAATCAGGGTTTTCCAACTCCCTTAGGTGGATGCGCCGTGTCCACCAACCCGGTTTAAGCGCAGTTTCGTAAATAGCAGAAATGCCACGAGAAGGCAGTGAGTAGGACTTCCCTGACAGAGGCTATATACGCGTAGCCATGTGAGAGCATTTCGTGAGGCAGGGCGAGCCCTCCCCACTCTCGGCCGTACCACGGCATTCGGGAGCATAGAGATCCATTCCTTATGATGATGTTTCTTGCGACCCAGAACCTCCTGATACGTTGAAGTTAGTGCTTCTTTGATTGCTTTCTAGTTGTCCTGCATAATAGTTTCTTCTTCTTTCAGTAGATCCTGTGAAGCTTGGAACCTGTTGTTGAGAGTTGATTTGCAAATCTCTTTCCATTTTAATTTCTCTCTCCTAGTCCATGTCGTTCAATTATATCTTCATATCCTGTGTTGTCCAGTCCGACTTTAGGATTTAGATCTCCCATCAGGATGGTAAGGTTTTTTCTTGAGCACTTAGCTATGATTGATTGAAGCCTCTCATAGAATTGATCTTTATCGTCGTCGTTGCTATCATTGGTGGGTGCATAACGTTGGATAACATTCATTGTGATCCCCTACATCTTTGATTTGAAGGATGCTTTGATTATCCTGGATCCATGAGATTCCCATCCTACAATTGCATTTCGTGCTTATCTGGACAGCATTAGAGCAACTCCCTGAGTGTGTGGAGCATTTTCTCCTTCGTGACTGGAATACAGCAGCATCTTTCCCTTACCTAGCCTTTGTTGTCCAGCTTGTGTCCAATGGGTTTCGCTGATTCCGAGTACTGCCAAGTTGTATCTCCTCATTTCCATTGGTATTTGACTGGTCTTTCCTGTCTCCCACATTGTCCGGACGTTCCATGTACCTATAAAGAGTGTTGCTCTGGTTGTTAGAAGGTGCATCGGCCTCGTGACTTTCGAAAAATTTCGGCTTTCATCATGAGGCGTTATAATTATTCCTTCGACTCCCAGGGCAGAGTTTACATAGTTTGAATTATTTTTTCTGATTAGCGTTTTTTAGCGAGTTAGTTTCCTACGGGATGGGGTCGCTAACCCCATGCCCAACCCTCCTCCTTTACCCGGGCTTGGGACCGGCAGAAACTCTAAAAGAGCTACAGGCGGAGTTAAACTGCCTAGTCGAAATAAATTAATAAATAGATTATCTTTGTATTACTTACCCTATTACTCACTAAATTGCTAATAACGCCCCGCTATTGTTATATTTATTTGCTCCTTGGCATCATATTCTAGAAGCTCTGATGTAACTCGTGAAGTTGGCTGGGTTATTTTTGATGAAATTCATTATATGAGGGAAAAAGAACGCGGTGTTATCTGGGAGGAAACCATCATTTTATTACCTGATAGTGTTGGGCTTGTTTTTCTAAGTGCAACAATTCCAAATGCTCGTGAATTCGCTGAATGGATAGTGTTTTTACATAGAAAACCGTGCCACGTCGTTTACACTGATTGTCGTCCTGTTCCATTACAACACTATGTTTACCCATGTGGTGGGGATGGAATTCATTTGGTAGTCAATCAGAACGTAAGTTTCTTAATATTCTCATTCAAGAACATTTATCTTCCGAATGATATAACTGATAAGTATTATTTTAATTTTAGTTGACCTTAAAATGTTACCTGTGGTGACTTTTGATTGATAGTAATAGTAAATCTATCTCAACATTCAATCCCACTACTCCCAGTTATGTAATTTTATCCTATTTTTTTTCACTTCTCACGGTAATTAAACTAATATACATAGCATAGAGGAAATAGTAAAAAGTACAGCACACGGAAGAAAAACAATATGGTAGAAATAAGAATAAAGATTTTATAACTAGATTTTTATTCACAAATATATTTCTCATTTCAAATTCCTCTAAACGTCGTGAACAATGATGGCTATATTAAGCCATACATGTGGGTAATTACCTGGTTTAGTTTTCATCTAAAAAGCATTGAGAGATTTAATGGCATTGATTTAATCCATGTCCTAGTTCATAACATTATCTCAAAATCATCAACTACTGTAAATAGTTCTAAAAATCCTTTTGATATTCAGGATTGAGTTATACAGCTGAATTAAGGAAACACCATGTAAACATATTGGCACCTTCAAGAAATAAACGAAATAGTTGTTTTTGGTACATAAACATAACTGGTTGTGGTAGCCAAGATAAAACACAGCAATTATGACTTCAGACAACTGACTGATAATAATTGTAACTAGATTGTCATCAAAACATTGTGAAACAGCCGTTTGCTAAGAGCTCAGAAAAGTAAAAACCAATTGACAAAACAGATTCGTCTAAACATCAAATCTGTACTTGTTTATAATGAGTGTTTTCATTTTGACTTTTGTTTTCTTTCCTAATGTTCTTGAGAAAAGCAGCCAATCAAGCTGTTATTTAGTGATGTGCTTCCTCTAACCATTGTGTACCGTTTTATCATTGATATCATTACGCATTTTATTTAAATCGACAATTCATTTCTAAGTAAATATAACTACAGTCTAAAGAAGTTTAAACAATACATTTCGCCAAATATTTCGAAGGTAGTTGGATCCTTTTAAGTCAAAATACAACACCCTCATCATAATACAGTTTATTAACAAACTGTTTTACACGCAAATTTAATTGCTCGTCTTCTGAAGAAAAACCGTTGATTCTCAGTCTTAAGGTTCAGTAACCATGAGCTTGTTGAAGTTACATACTCTGTAACGTTGATATCACAATCGCAGTTAACATATTCACTTCAAGCATTTTTATAAGTGTAAACTATATTAATTTTGGTTCTAAGCAGCTAATGGTAAATCTAACGACGTAAAATGAGTTCATAGTGTTCTACCCAGTTCTTTGTCCTTGCTTTCCAAATATCGCAATTAGAAAGTTTAACATTGGATAGTTAGGAAACCCTTATCCCTCTTCCTTGAAACAATAGGCAAAGTCAGTAGTCACAACGTAGAACTTCGTACGTACGTACATCGGTTCGAGATGCCATACCACATTAACACAGAGATGCAGTTGTCGATTCAAATCTCATAGTGGTAGAAGTAGTAAGAGTATAAGCATTATGTGAAAGATAAGGGTTTGAAGATGTTATTGAAGGAGTATAATACAGTGAAATAAATTTGGAAAGAGAAAAAGATAAAGACATGAGGAATTCAGAAGATTAGAATTTGGTAGAACACAAAGAGTGGATGCATCTTCGCCATTGCAAACGATTTTGGGCCATGTCATTCAAGGTCTCTAACCATCGATTGCTGTCATCTCGCGGATCCCAACCAGGTAGTCTACACCTACCAACATGGCCCAGTCCACTTGTCAGTGACTTCATTGATTTGTGCCACGTTTTGGTTTGGCCACCCCTAGCTTTCTTCCAACCTACTCCTACACCATGAAACATTGCACGTCGGGGCAGTCGGTGGTCGGGCATACGTAACACATGTCCAAGCCATCTCAACTGATGAAGTTTCACTACTTCATCAATCGATTTGCCATCCTTACCTAGTACTCGTTTCCTAACAACTGCATTACTTACCCGGTGGTACCAGGATATACGAGCAATGCTTCGAAGACACCTATGATCGAAAACTAGTAGCCTACGAATATCCTCTACTCTTATTGGTCATGTTTCACTGCCATAAAGTAGGACGAAACGAACTGCTGCACAGTAAACCCGTTTTTTGGTTGCTAGACGGATATTTCGCCTCAGTCAGTCAGTCAGTCACAACGTAGAACTTCGTACGTACGTACATCAGTTCGAGTTGCCATACCACATTAGCACAGAGATGCAGTTGTCGATTCAAATCCCATAGTGGTAGAAGTAGTAGGAGTATAATCAGAAATCCAAAAGATTAGGGGTTTGAAGAAATTATTGAAGGAGTATAGTACAGTGAAATAAATTTGGAAAGAGAAAAAGATAAAGACATGAGGAATTCAGAAGATTAGAATTTGGTAGAACACAAAGAGTGGATGGATCTTCGCCATTGCAAACGATTTTGAGCCATGTCATTCAAGGTATCTAACCATCGATTGCTGTCATCTCGCGAATCCCAACCAGGTAGTCTACACCTACCAACATGGCCCAGTCCACTTGTCAGTGACTTCATTGATTTGTGCCACGTTTTGGTCTGGCCACCCCTAGCTTTCTTCCAACCTACTCCTACACCATGAAACATTGCACGTCGGGGCAGTCGGTGGTCGGGCATACGTAACACATGTCCAAGCCATCTCAACTGATGAAGTTTCACTACTTCATCAATCGATTTGCCATCCTTACCTAGTACTCGTTTCCTAACAACTGCATTACTTACCCGGTGGTACCAGGATATACGAGCAATGCTTCGAAGACACCTATGATCGAAAACTAGTAGCCTACGAATATCCTCTACTCTTATTGGCCATGTTTCACTGCCATAGAGTAGGACGGAGCGAACTGCTGCACAGTAAACCCGTCCTTTGGTTGCTAGACGGATATCTCGCCTACGCCATAAATGACGCAAGTTGGTGAAAGCTAGACGAGCCTTCTGTATCCGTGCTGAGACTTCGTCACATACCAGACCACAAGGGCTGATGAGACTCCCAAGATAAGTGAAGTGGTCTACACGCTCAACTACTTCACTCCCTATCATTAGTTCAGGTGTCGATGCAACCCAATCCTGAAGTAACATTTTGCACTTCGAGGGAGAGAATCGCATCCCGAACATGCCTGCATAGTTGCTTGTGGTGGTCAGAAGACTCTGCATTTTGTCAGCGTCTTCACCGAGTAAAACTATGTCGTCGGCGTATTCTAAGTCAACAAGTGAGCCTCCTGGTAAAAGTTCAACTCCTGGAAGTTTAGCTGATGAAAGTGCTATCTCTAAAAGTATGTCAATGACAAAGTTAAACAAGAATGGAGATAGTGGACAGCCCTGACGAACGCCACTTGAGGTAACCACTTCTGATGACAGTTCGCCATAGGCTCTAACTCGACCATTTGTGTTCGAGTAGAGAGCCTTTATGAGGTTAATGTACTTCTTTGGTACTCCTTTCAGTGACAAACATTGCCATAGAACCTCACGATCAACAGAGTCAAATGCCACCTTAAGGTCAAGAAATACTACTATCGTGGGACGTCTGAATTTGTGTCTATGTTCTAGAACCTGACGTAGGGTGAATATCTGGTCTATGCGACCACGTCCAGGTCGAAAACCAGACTGGTTTTCTCTAGTCTGCTCGTCACGAGCTTTGGTTAGGCGACCTAGTATTATTGAAGCTAATATTTTAGACACTATATTAGTCAAACTGATCCCTCTGTGATTGTCACAGGAGGACTTTTGTCCTTTCTTATAGACTGGCACAATCAGTGATTGGGACCAGTCAGATGGAATTACGTCCAGTTCCCAGATTCTACCTAAGACCTCAGTCAATCTCACTGCTAGTACTGGACCACCATCCTTAAAAATCTCAGGGGTCAACCTGTCAGGGCCTGCTGCTCTCCCTCGCTTCAGATTTCCTATAGCTTTTTCAACCTCACAGAGGGTTGGAGGACTTACATCAATTTTCCATTCAGGACGACTGGGGATCGTGGGTAATTGAAGTGTGGCTGAAGGCCGGTTGAACTGATCCCTAAAGTGTTCTGCCCATCGATCCAACCTCCTGGATTGAGAATGAATAATATGCCCATCTTTATCTGAGATGGTTTCACTGATATTCGGGTTCCTAATACCGGTTTCTTTAACGAGTCTGAATAGCTGCCTACTGTTACCTATTGCCGCTGCCTTTTCCATCTCTCTTGCTTTCGCTACCCACCACTGTTCACGATCATTACGTAGACTTCTTATAAGCCTGCGCTTAAGTTGACTCCGCTCTTCGTTATGCTCAGAGCCAGGTGGGATGAGTTTACGAGCATCTATCAGTGTGGTAGATGCTGCCGAGATCCATTGTTTCTCCCTAACGTTATGGTTTACCTTATTAGCGGATATCACTGCTGTTTCCACAGCTTTTCGGATGTCATTCCACGCTGCCTCGGGGTGGACACAACTTACATGGCTGCCTAACTGTTTTTCTAGTTGTTCCTGAAATATATTCTTAGCTTGCCTATTATTAAGTAGAACCCTTAGAGGCTTCCCCGCAGTGTCTTTCCTACGTCCAGTAAGACGCAGACAGATACGTGCTCGCACTAGAGCATGATCTGAATCTAAGCATGTGCCCCAGAATGATCGACAGTCTTCTATCGAGCCCCTCCATCGGTGGCTGATAGCGATGTGATCTAATTGGGTCCAACGTTGGGACGAATTCGGGGGTCGCCATGTCAAAAGATGTTTTTCCTTATGCTTAAAGTTAGTATTTGCAAGAAATAGGCGGTTATCTGAGCATAGCTGCAACAGACGGTCGCCATTATCTGTTCTTTGAGCCATCACACCATAAGATCCACCCAGGTGTCTTTCCCTTTCACTTAGTTTACCTACTTGAGCATTAAAGTCACCTGCTACTATTACTACATCAGAACGCCTAGCTTCTCGGAGAAGGTCAGAAAGTTTCCTGTAGAACTCATCTTTTATATCGTCTGAGCTGCAGTCAGTTGGAGAGTAGGCAGAGACGACGAAGAGGCAACGACGAGTTTCCCTATCTTTCCGGGTCCTTACTGATCCGTTTAGTCGGACAGCGCATAGACGACTGTCTACTGGGATCCAGTCTAAAAGAGCTAGTTCTGCCCTAGGACTTAATGGGATATTTTGCCTACGCCATAAAAGACGCAAGTTGGTGAAAGCTAGACGAGCCTTCTGTATCCGTGCTGAGATTTCGTCACACATCAGACCACAAGGGCTGATGAGACTCTCAAGATAAAGGAAGCGGTCAACACGCTCAACTACTTCACTCCCTATCATTAGTTCAGGTGTCGATGCAACCCAATCCTGAAGTAACATTTTGCACTTCGAGGGAGAGAATCGCATCCCGAACATGCCTGCGTTGTTGCTTATAGTGATCACGGTTTTACTCTTGTGATTTGTTGCATGGTAAGAACCGTCGACCAAGAATCGAAACAATGGGAAAAGTTCCCTTAGTGTTGATAAAACGAAGTACTAGGCTACATTTTTTATTAACAGTTCCAGTATATATCTAATGATTAAGTATCGAAATGTTATATCCCGATAAGAGTAATAAATGGTAACTTTTGGGATCCGTTTATGGACCAATGCTATGCGTATATTTTATCGTATAATTGTTTAGACAAGATAACTGCAGCACTACTCGCTTTATTCCAAATTCCGATCTGGTACCTGATTTCAGATTACTGTAAAAAGATACATGAATAAATCGATGACTAACCTGACCACAACGTACAATAATTAGGTAAATACACTTATGTCCAAAACTGGGGGATTACAGTAGAAAATAGAATACAAAAGGTTATGTCTAACCTACAATAGCTTTGAAACAGAAAAAGCTATGGCAGCGAATCATACATCAATTGAAAGCTTATGATCTGTAAACTAGACTAGGGGCAAAAGTAAATGTTACTGTTATACAAGCTTTGAATTAAATGAAACAACATCCCATAAAAAAAGCTTCCGTAGTTTGTCAAGTCTTCTTGTTTCTCTGTTCACATCAGGTACGATGTGGTCTGTCTGTCTGGTATATAAATCCAGTATGTTTGAAATGTGATTCATGCCGCAGAGACTGAGATTGGTGTTCTGGACTTAACTGGCTGGGTTAGGTAGAAAGCAGGACCGATAAGTACCCTAGACTGCTTGCACGGGCTTTATGCGTCATTGTTCTGATCGATAAAACACTGCTCTCTAACTGGCGGTATCATCACGTTATACATTAACAGGGTACACAGGCTACAAGTTATAACACAAACGTCCTCTTTGGCACAGTCACCATTCAGATCGGATGATTTATTCCAGTGTTAATTTATTACAGTTTCCGATTTTCAAATCGTATAACTCCTTTAGTCACCATCAGTTATTCATTTTCGTATGTTTTTACTGGAATGACTCGCACAGCATATACCAAGTGTTTACGAAAAGCAACATAGCTTACGACTTCTTTCCGTTTTACATATTTCAAGTGTATTCCAACCACAGCCACATACAGCCGGTCAAAATGAAATTTCATGCTATCTCAAAGCCTATTATACACCGTCAAACTAATGAAAGATTTAAAGATCACATGCGAAAATTTGATCTCATTGCTGTTTATCGGATTCCTGTTTTTTGAACGCGTGCTCGTTTATGCTGCTGTCTATGTGATATGTTCGTGCATTTTGCTTATAGTTCGCTGCATCAACCTCAATGCTGTGAACGAAACTACATCTATTCTCTTTTTTCCCTCTTCACTAACTAGAGTAATAACACCAGTTTAGTAGAGAAAGCATTTTTATGTTGATCCAGTTTGTCGATTATATATCAATTAAAAAGTGATTAGGGTATTTAAACTGGCTATTTGTCATTTAGATAAATCATAGTAAAAATGTACTGAAAGTTCATAAAAAATGTTCTTACTGAATAATAACTTACTGAAGTAGAATTGGAACCTAATCGATTTGCTTCTCATAACTTGTAATTGGAGATATTTAAGCATAGATTTTTATCTGACTATTCAAGTAATTTTCTGAGCTGTCAGTCACACTGTTTCTTTTGCTATATACATTGTTGACTAAGCTGATCTAATTATAAAAATTCAGTTAGACCCATCTACTATTTAGTCAATCATGTAATATTTGTTGAGTTTGATAATGACTGTATCCAAACTAATTAATTATGAGGAATATACAGTCGTCTTCATATGACACAAACGATGTTCTTAATGTCCATTATCAGTAGTTTCTAGTAGTCAATCATCATATAAAACTGTTAGAAATTTTGCACTATCAGACTTGAATAGAAGTCTATTTCTCTTCCCTTTTCACTTGTGCTTATGCTGAGAGTTGAGATAGTAGATTACGTGCACAGTTAACCCTAAACAATTTCGCTGTTGTGTATCCCTGACAGGTTCTTTCGTTTCTATTCGCTTGTTTTCCAGCGTGAGTTTATTGAATCTAACTTCAATCTTGCTTTAAATACTTTACAAAATGCGGCTGGCAATTCAATTTCTGATACAAAATCCCGTGGACGTAATGGTGGCAGCACCCGTAAGTTAAATAGTTTCCTTTTAATCGCGTTTTTATATTTACTCGTGTGCTCAAGTCTTATAACTGGAAACGAAGTTCTCATGCAAGAAATCTCATATTTTATAATATATTGAGTGCAGACCCTGGAAACGGTTGTTTCGAATCGATTTAACATCTGTAAAAATGTACGGTCTCATAAGGAAAAAAAAAGGATCCTCATGTTTTTGTTGTTTTTCTTTCAGTGATCTTACATCTAATCATGTTTTGAATTCACTTAGTATTGTTTGTTTGGATCTTCCCATCGATGTGTTTAGGACTGCAACTGGTCAGTCTCTAATTGGCATATGTGCATACTGTGCGTATTGCCTCGATAAACCTTAATTCACAAGCATGGTAAGCAGAGATGAATAGTGGCTAGCAGTGGAATCCAGGACGCGCGTTTCGTCCTATTTGGGACTCGTCAGCTGGATGTACCTGCATCTCAGAGTTGTTGTTCACTCTGGGACTCGAACCCAGTACCCTCGCTTCAAACGCCATCGCGTTATCCACTCGGCCACTGAGTCCTGATAGCCACTTATTTTGAATGAATATTTTAATGTATTCTGTTTTAGCCTTGATATGATATTAAAACCTAAGTTTACAAAACTGGTGAGCTAAATTTCCAACTAAAATAAATGTTTACAATATTCATAGAGTAGGTAAAGACTGCGGTTATGTCATTGGTTGATGAACTATTATCAGAATGACCATACTACAAGATACTGTTTAGTAAATGTGTGTGCTGATATTCGACTAATTTTTGATAGTAAGCTGCATTAAGTCGTTGAATACCAGCTAAACACTGAACATTTGTTTCATTTTAGTGTTGTACTCTTCAGTAATAATAATCACTCTTCATACTCATATATGTCATATTTAGGGGTGTGGTATTCAATAAACACAATTTCACATCAGTGAACATGATGAGTTTTCGTGTACCACGAGTAAATCTCCGCTTACGCTAATTCAGTTTTTAGTTTTAATATTAGTCGGAAATTACTTTTTTTGTGACAAATGAACTGCCTTTTTATTTGAGGTTTTCCTCTTGTCAGTCACATTCCGTTTTTTCCTTCAAATTATTATTAACAGTTGTCCAGTCACTTGTAGACTGTAGTATATACAAACAAGGTCATATTTACCAGTATGATGTTATAAATATAACAAAAGTTTATTGTTACGTGATTCATTTTGATGCCTTGTTTTTAAGGTCCTCAACCATATTGCTCGAAGTTAGTTAAGTTGGTAATGGACCAAAATTTGGAACCACTTATTGTGTTTTCATTTAGCAAGATGGATTGTGAATTCTATGCTATGCAACTAAACAAAATGGATTTTAGTACAGGTAAGTGTAACATTTTGTTACTGCATCGCTTTTAAAACCACGAAACAGTTTCTCCGATCTACAGTACAATGTTTGTGGAGAATTCATGGATACAAGTAGATTAATAATATTTAAGAACGAAAATCTGTATTTTTAATGGTTTGCTAATTCTATCCAGGATTTGAAATTCCACATTGGTCTCGTTTTGATATGTAGGACCTCGTAGGATCTTGTACTATATGGCATACGTTTAGGTAGCCCATATTGATGAACATGATCGCTGGAGAGGTAGTATTATTTTTCGAAGTTTGTTTGTATGCTTTCTAAATATTTGTGAAGTATGGCACACCGTAGAAGACTGACGTTTTGACTTTAATCTTTATTGATTACACTCATCATGAATTGTCATCCCTGCGTAATATTTGTTAGACTTTTCGTATAAGATATTTAGCAGTGATTCGTGTTTTCCATCTATTCAGTTAAATCAATGAACTATTAAAATGACCCTTGTAGGTTGGTAAAGATTGCTTGGTTAATGTCCGCGTAACTATCGTAACCATTCGTTAGAAACTTTTGATAGCATGGCTCAGATGTATTCACTGTTTTATCTCCTTATATATTTAGAGTCCCTTTGTGCCAATAAATCCCTAAACCTGCTTTTACCTTTTTAAACTTCAATACCAACGTTTGACTTGGTGATTTCGAATAAGTTGAGCATTGAGTAAACTGTTAATAATAGAGTAGGTATCATTACCAAGTCTTGATTTGATAATTTTGAATAAATTGTGTTAAATTGTGTTAATAATAGAAATAATAATATACTTGTAAAAAACCAAGTAAGTGAAAGATTGAATTTCCGACCTTCACAACTTCGTGTAAATCACTTTTTCAAATAGTAAAGGTAAATTAACACAAGTTTAAGTTGTATAAATGAAAGAAAGCAGAATATTTTATCGAAGTCAAAATCAAAATGGGTCTGATTATGTCAATATGATGTCATTATGGTCAAAGTATTTCTGTGTGAAACACACAAGTGTATTTATGTATATGTTATTAGGTGTAGGAAATAGGGTATTTGTAGTGTGGCAAATTGATGTAAGTCCTCCAACCCTCTGTGAGGTTGAAAAAGCTATAGGAAATCTGAAGCGAGGGAGAGCAGCAGGCCCTGACAGGTTGACCCCTGAGATTTTTAAGGATGGTGGTCCAGTACTAGCAGTGAGATTGACTGAGGTCTTAGGTAGAATCTGGGAACTGGACGTAATTCCATCTGACTGGTCCCAATCACTGATTGTGCCAGTCTATAAGAAAGGACAAAAGTCCTCCTGTGACAATCACAGAGGGATCAGTTTGACTAATATAGTGTCTAAAATATTAGCTTCAATAATACTAGGTCGCCTAACCAAAGCTCGTGACGAGCAGACTAGAGAAAACCAGTCTGGTTTTCGACCTGGACGTGGTTGCATAGACCAGATATTCACTCTACGTCAGGTCCTAAAGCATAGGCATACATTAAGACGTCCCACAATAGTAGTATTTCTTGACCTTAAGGTGGCATTTGACTCAGTTGATCGTGAGGTTCTATGGCACTGTTTGTCACTGAAAGGGGTACCAGAGAATTACATTAACCTCATAAAGGCTCTCTACTCGAACACAACTGGTTGAGTTAGAGCCTATGGCGAACTGTCATCAGAAGTGGTTACCTCAAGTGATGTTCATCAGGGCAGTCCACTCTCTCCATTCTTGTTTAACTTTGTCATTGACATACTTTTAGAGATAGCACTTTCATCAGCTAAACTTCCAGGAGTTGAACTTTTACCAGGAGGCTCACTTGTTGACTTAGAATACGCCGACGACATAGTTTTACTCGGTGAAGACGCTGACAAAATGCAGAGTCTTCTGACCACCACAAGCAACTATGCAGGCATGTTCGGGATGCGATTCTCTCCCTCGAAGTGCAAAATGTTACTTCAGGATTGGGTTGCATCGACACCTGAACTAATGATAGGGAGTGAAGTAGTTGAGCGTGTAGACCGCTTCACTTATCTTGAGAGTCTCATCAGCCCTTGTGGTCTGGTATGTGACGAAGTCTCAGCACGGATACAGAAGGCTCGTCTAGCTTTCACCAACTTGCGTCATTTATGGCGTAGGCGAGATATCCGTCTAGCAACCAAAAGACGTGTTTACTGTGCAGCAGTTCGCTCCGTCCTACTTTATGGCAGTGAAACATGACCAATGAGAGTAAAGGATATTCGTAGGCTACTAGTTTTCGATCATAGGTGTCTTCGAAGCATTGCTCGTATATCCTGGTACCACCGGGTAAGTAATGCAGTTGTTAGGAAACGAGTACTAGGTAAGGATGGCAAATCGATTGATGAAGTAGTGAAACTTCATCAGTTGAGATGGCTTGGACATGTGTTACGTATGCCCGACCACCGACTGCCCCGACGTGCAATGTTTCATGGTGTAGGAGTAGGTTGGAAGAAAGCTAGGGGTGGCCAGACCAAAACGTGGCACAAATCCATGAAGTCACTGACAAGTGGACTGGGCCATGTTGGTAGGTGTAGACTACCTGGTTGGGATTCGCGAGATGACAGCAATCGATGGTTAGAGACCTTGAATGACATGGCCCAAAATCGTTTGCAATGGCGAAGGTGCATCCACTCTTTGTGTTCTACCAAATTCTAATCTTCTGAATTCCTCATGTCTTTATCTTTTTCTCTTTCCAAATTTATTTCACTGTATTATACTCCTTCAATAACATCTTCAAACCCTTATCTTTCACTTAATGCTTATACTCTTACTACTTCTACCACTATGAGATTTGAATCGACAACTGCATCTCTGTGTTAATGTGGTATGGCAACTCGAACTGATGTACGTACGTACGAAGTTCTACGTTGTGACTAACTGACTGATTTTTAGTGTGTAAGAGTAGGGTTACAAATATTTTTGTTCGATAGTGGTGTGAGACTTCCCCGTGAATATTCTTAGAGATTACCAAAGTTAGTTTGAATAATTCTAAACAAATTGCGCATTCAGTGGAATGATAATGATAAAATAATGATACATTTTTGATATCCCAGAAAGAATTCCTGAATTTTAATGACTTGTTGTAAGTCTCTTCAGAGAATAAATGTCCTTTTTGTTGAATAATAATTATTTTGATTGAAATATCATGGGTTGGTACTGTGATTCTACCATGCTGTCAGGGCATAACAGAAGAGCTACAACGAATCCACAAATCGCAGATCATTATAGCTTTCCATGACACAGTTGACAAAATTCAAAATATTTTAGTTAAAATAAAAGATACAATTTGTGTCTACAGACCAGGATATTTAGATTGTGATGCTTTCTGTTGAAAAGTCCTGTGAAATTACAACCCATGACAAAAATATAGGTTGCAAAAATAGATCTCTTAATAATCCTGAAGATGTGGCATACACTAAGTATTCATGAAACTTTCGAGATTCAATTTTATACTTATTGGAATCTTAAAAATTTACCATTATTTCCACTATTATACCTTTCTGTTTCCTTTTTGACCTAATCTTTTGTAATGATACTGTTACTACTTCTGCTCTGAGAATCGATAATTTTATCTCTCTGTACTAATGTGATGTGGTAACGTGAGCCCGCTCACTTATCTGTCAGGGTCTACGTTGTGTATATATGACTAATAAAAGTCGAGGCCTAAAGCGCTACATAAGTCGCGGTATCCCGTAAGGATAGCCAGTACTTGTTTTCGTGTTCCATTGAATCGGAGCTTAGTCATAAATTCAACAATATGTAGTATTTAATTGCTACACTGATTGCAATAAGTCTATCTACATTCATTCGTGTATGGCAATGATCTTTTGACAGTGAAGCCCAAAATCAATATAGCTGTTTTTAGAACACTAAGCAATAATTCCAAAATCTACACATGTAAACAGGTTGTAGCCCGAATGAAGATAGCTGTATTCGTTGAGATACAGTTTCCTACCTAGATAAACTCTTATTCTACGTTCCGAGTAGGAATTACTGAAATATTTTATGGCCATTTAATAAAGTCTGTATGAATCAGCAGTATTTTTTTCGTTGGACCTGGACCAGCTACTTTATGAAGACGTTTTATCTTTAGAATAAAACCAGTCATATCTGTAAACATGGAATTTCGCTCAGTTTGTGAGTCCTTCCGTAAACGTATTAACCCAGTAATTTGACTGGTATTTTGTTTTTTCGTAACTGTTATGTCCTTGTGAAGATTAAATAACGGGTAACTTCTGTGAACTATTAATGGACTAATATTATATATATATATATATATATATATATATATATATATATTCCTATTGTATAACTGTCCAGTATATTATGTATATCTATATTCCTCCTATTATAACATTTGTTTCCATTTATAGACTATTATGATACAATTTACTATTCTTAAATTATACTCAGTTTATTCCGAACCGTTTCTGCTACCTTGACGTGGTGGTCGGGATTGCCTATCGTAATGAACCAATTGAACTATACTGGCTGGAACAATCGTTCCTCAAGTTTCTACCATGTCAGGCAGGTCGGTTGAAAAGCGGTAAGACTAACAACATCAAACACAAGGTCCGAAGGCGAAGTCGTACTGCTGACTGTACAGAGGTGTGACGGCAGTAAGGTGTTTCCTTCATACGACCAGCATAACACCGATTCTGCATTCTCACAAGGAGGGATGGGGTTAGAAAAGGTCGACCCTAAAGATGCACACCTCGCCTTATCCCACGGATTTCCGTCTCCGGCAGTAAGGTCCGAACAAGTACGGAGCTAACACAAAAACTACCCACAAAAAGTCGTTTGTGACCGACCTCAAGTAGGTTGTTTAAAACCCGAGAACGATTGACTCGCGAGGAGCAGGCTGGTTTTCGTTCTGGTCGAGGATGCATTGATCACATCTTCACCCTCCGCCAAATGCTAGAACACCGTCATACTTATCGCAGGCCAACAATCGTAGTGTTTCTTGATATCAGGGCTGCCTTCGATTCGTTGGACAAGACTGTTCTCTGGGATTGTCTATTGAAGAAGGGTGTGCCTGAGAAGTTCATTAACACCTTAAAGGCCCTGTATACGAACACCTCAGGCAGAGTGAGGGCATACAACCACCTTTCTCCCTTGTTCCATTCGAGCAGTGGGGTTAGGCAGGGTTGCCAGATCTCACCATTCCTCTTCAACTTTGCCATCGACGACATCCTGGAAACAGCTCTGATGGATGTAAGTAATGGCTGTGTGGATATGTTGCCTGGAGAACGACTTTTCGACCTCGAGTATGCGGATGATATTGTCTTACTGTGCGATAATGCCCAAGGCATGCAATCCGCACTTAATCAGTTGGCAATCAGTGTCCGCAGGTTCGGCATGTGCTTTGCACTCTCCAAGTGCAAAGTACTCCTACAAGACTGGCAGGATTCTCATCCTGTACTCACCCTGGATGGTGAGCAGATTGAAGTAGTTGGGAAGTTCGTGTATCTAGGTAGCTACATAAGTGCTGGTGGTGGCGTGAGTGATAAGATTGATGCACGCATAATGAAAGCCAGATCGGCTTATGCCAATCTGGGCCATCTTTGGCGCCTTCGTGATATTAGTCTGGCTGTAAAAGGTCGGATCTACAACGCGTCGGTGAGAGCAGTTTTGCTCTATGCTTGTGAAACCTGGCCTCTCCGAGTTGAGGATGTTAGACGTCTCTCTGTGTTCGATCATCGTTGTCTCCGAAGGATTGCTGACATCCAGTGGCAACACCATGTTAGTAATGCAGAGGTTCGGCATCGTGTGTTGGGGCGCAGAGACGATAATTCAATTGGTGTCGCCATCTTGAAACACCGACTTCGGTGGCTTGGACATGTTTTACGAATGTCGTCCCAGAGACTTCCACGTCGTGCATTATTTGCCGACTCTGGGACTGGTTGGAAAAAGCGGAGAGGAGGTCAGTGTATGACATGGTGTCTTGGCATGAAAGAAAGCTGCAAAGGGCTAGCTTCTGTTGGTCCTTCACGACTCCCTGGCTGGGGTCCGAGAGATGGTGCAACACAGTGGCTAGAGACGTTATCGGATATGGCTCAGAATAGAAGCTAGTGGCGATCCTTCTGCAACCTTCTTTTACTTTCTACATAAAGAGTGGTTCTAACTTTCTTAACTGAAAGAGTCTTCTGGTTGTACATTCAGTTCCCCTCATCATTACTCTTCTCCTTTTCTTTTTTTCCTTCTTTTATATATACGCATCTCCTTCTTTCTCCCATTCTCATTATTTTGTGTGGCGCATATGTATCCGGTGCCCTTTGTACCAATATATATGTGATTAAATAAATAGATAAAATAGTTGTCCCTTGGCCACTGTGGTCACGCTCTCAGGTCACTTAGACCACTTCTAACCCAATTTCCTTTTCAGGTATCTCTAGAAGAACTCTTCCACGGTGTGGGTAGCCGGGAAGTGATAACTGCCTTCATAACTTTAACAGCACTCAAAGACTTAGTTTATTAGTTACAGTCTCCCACTGTGACAGCCAATTTTAGGCTTGACCTTGTACGAATGTTATTTCCTATTTCGTGGTGTGATGTGGTCTGTTTGTCTGGTAAATATACCAATTATGTTTGAAATAAATTATATGCATAGTTGGAGATGTTATTGGCGTTGTGAACTCAACTGGAAAGGCTAGGAGAGCGAAGGACCAACAAGGACTCTAGGCTGCTGATATCGGTCGAATGTCATCGATTTGGCACAGTACTAAGTTTGTATAAGTTGCAATCCGATTGGTGAATAAATCACGTAATTAGCTGGGTTTAAAGTCAACAGGAGCTCATTAGTGGTTTCTTTTACGGTGTTCTAAATGTGGTAGTGTTTTATAGTCAACAAATATCACAATAATTATTTTGCCGATTTTATGATCAAATCAACTTTCTACCTTTTTTCTTAGAATCAGAAAAGGCGGCTATTGAACTTGTATTTAATAATGCCATTGAGAGTCTTTCCGTTGACGATCGAAATCTTCCTCAGGTTCAGATTTTATTACCTGTATTACGTCGTGGAATCGGTATTCATCATGGCGGGTTGTTGCCTATACTCAAGGAAATTGTTGAAGTGTTATTCGCTGAGGGTTTTATAAAAGTAAGTTTTTGTTTTTGTACCAAGTTCTTTTCATTTTATCGTAATGTAAGGGTACTTTGGAAAGTAACTTTTGTAGACTCATTATCGCCTAGTAAGTCATCAACAAAAAAGTGAAATACAATACATGTCAACAAACAGTCTTAATATGTAGTCCACATTATTGTAGTATCTTGGTCGCTAATTCTAAACTTCTATTTATCTAATGTGACATTTATATACTCATGTAATACCAAAAATGTTCATTTTACAGTGAAACAAAAATACGGAAATCTCTACAGCTTAGCAGATCTGTTGTTTCATTTTTACGAATGTGGCTTTACTATATATGAAGTATTCATTTAGACATTCACTTCTTCCCATGAATTTGATCGAAAGCAGCATGTAAAAGGATTTTCTTAATGTAGGAAGACATGAGTAAATAAATGACTAACATGACCTGTTGGGATGATCCTGCAAATTTCTCGCAATAGACATGACAAACTCAGGAAAACATTTTATCCAATAAGCGTTTGATTAGAAGTTTTGCTAGAAATATCGCAAAAATGAAGTCACATGTAGACGTTCTGATTGGCTGATTACTACACTGCTACTATGTTTGGTAGTATTCTAGAATGTTCAGTAAAACCCAAGGACTTTTAAAATACTATAAAAACCCTATATTTTCTGTACATGAATGAACCTTTGGAGTAAAGTACTTCCTGCATATTTTGTGCCTTTTCTCCCGTGTTCAGGTCGCTGTGTAGTTCTAGCTTGGAGGTACAAGACTAACTTAGGATCCGAATATAGCGTTCAATCAGTAAAATCACAACTCACAAACAATTGAGAAAATACAATTATATCCAAATTAAGAATTGTAGTAGAAAAATCTAGTACGAAAGTTTTCGTTTAAAATATAACAGCTATGGAATAGAAAAGGGTATGGAAGTGAATAATGCATCAAACGAAAACTGAAGGTTTATAGAATAACCTAGGTTAAAATACTAAGTGTTAGTATTTTACAAATTTCGGAGCAAGTGGAATAATGCTCTGAAAAACAGCTTCCGTTGTTCATTTTGACTTATTGGTTTCTCTATTCACATCAGCCTCCTGACTACATCCAATATCTTTTCTTAATCGTCTCAACTGACAGCTTGTTTTTCCTCTGCTAAAGTAAGCTATTATTCATGGTGTTTGGTCAAGGGACCTAGAGTATCTTATTAAGGCAGTTGTCTATAAATTCCTTTACATTTTTGATGGTCGTAGTGGTTATCGAAGTTTCAGATTCCTGCACAGAACTGTCTTAATGTTAGTGGTAAAAATTCTGACTTTGGTGTTTCGTAACAGTTCATTGGAGTTCCAGATATTCTTCAGTTGAAAGTATTCTTCTCTTTCAATTCATCCTCCCATATCTATGTCAGATACTCCTTGTTTGTCGATAGTGCTCTCCACGTGCATCAAGATGTCCATCTATCCAAGAGCTTTCACAATTGTGATTTGGTTGGAGCCGTAGTGTTATACTTCGGGATCCTGCTTTTTCCCTTGTGAATGCTGAAGTCTCGTTCCACGAGAGGCACCGCCACATTGACTGTCTTCTGTACTTGTTTCTGTGTATATGATGACAGATCTAAGTCGTCTACAGAGTCCGAATCATCCAGATTCGTCCAAGAGGTCTTCTGTATTTTATGCTTTTCCAGAGATATGGAGTTCTTCATAATCCAATTGACATCTTGTAGGGAGAGTAAAAGCAAGGGTAGACAGCCTTATTTGACACTTGGAATGTATCTGTGAGTTGTTTTCCATTCACGGTTTTGCAATGCTATTCCTCGTAAGAGTTCCGTACAGTAGTGGAAATCCCTTCCGGTACTCCAAAATGTCGAAGAATCCATAAGTTTTTCCTGTAGATGCTGCCGAACGCTTCTTCACAATCAAGGAAGTCGGTCAACAATGATGGGTCCAAATGTTCAACACTGTTTAGGAGTGCCGTAGCTTGGTCAGTGCACAACCGGTCCTTATAAAAGCCAACTTGTTGATCTCAAAGTTGGATGTTCGCCGAATCTTTCCTTTGGTTCAACAACACTGTCCAAAACTTTTTTAATACCGAGAGTAGTGTAGTGTCTCTGTAGTTCTCACACTTTCTTAAATCTTGCTTGATATGTAAATGAGTTATTCCTGTTCAGAGTTCGTTAAATACTGATTCTTCCTCCCAAATTTTTCTGAAGAGAACGTGGAACATCTTTGTACCTATCTCTATATCCAACTTCAATGCTTCTGGTGGTATGCCATCTGGTCCTTTTGCTTTCCCATTTTCGTTTTATCTGATGTCCTCGCTAATCTCTTCTCTTGTCGATAGGGTTATCATGTATAGGGAGGCTTGTGTATACTGCATCAATATGTAGAGTTCAGCGGCCTGGGTTTTTTAATTGCTCTACTCACTTGTTCCGCTGTTCTTAAACCTTCGTGATTGGTTTGTCTTATTTGTTCTTGACTGATTGTTGTGGTTCACTACATCTTGCTTAGTCAAAACTATGTAATTGGAAGCACATAGATCTACCCGTTTCCATTCTCACTCCTTTCTCCCAGTTCATGTTGAATAGTAATGCTTTCATACCCGGTATTGTCCATCTCAACCTCGACATTCAGATTCCACACCATGATCAAGTATTTTCATGGAAAGTTCTTTACGTATAAAACTGATATTTACCATCGCTGCTATCGGTGGGTGCGTATCAACGAATAACATTCATTATAATTTTCTCCATCCTTGTTTTGAAGGATACCTTAATGATTTTAAAGCCGTCGATTTCTCATCCTACAAGCGCTTTTTGTGCTTTTTTGGAAAGCATGATTACAACTCCATCGTATGTGTGGTACGTTCCTCTTCGTAACCAGAACATAACAGGAACTCTCCTTAAGTTCGTCTTTTTTGCCCACATTGTGTTCGATGCTTGTCATTTATTTCTAGGAGAGCCAGGTTGTATCTTCCCATTCCAACTGTTATTTGAATGCCTTAACCGGTTTCCGACATCGTCCAGACAGTCTGTCTCTATCTTGATTGCTATTCTGATTTTCAGAATGGGTGTTGACTTCGTGACGTCCGAAGAATCTTATGCTTCACTATAAGGAGTAAAAACTCTTCTACATGAAGATCCTTCAACTCTCAGGATAGAGTTTAAGTAGTTTCTTTTTAGCGTTTTTATTTACGGGGTATGGTTGCTAACCTCCCCTCTTTATTCAGGCTTGGGACTGGCAGAAGTGGTAGAAGGGCTTCAGGCAAATTTAAAGTTTGAAGTTAATAACCCATAATTACAAATTTTAAGTTTCTCGATGTACTTTTCTGTTTCCGTTAAAAGTAAATTCTGTCATGTAATGTAGGTATTGTATGCTACTGAAACATTCGCGATGGGTCTTAATATGCCTGCTCGATCTGTGTTATTCACGTCTACTCGAAAGTTTGATGGACGCGACTTCCGTTTACTTTCATCTGGGGAATATATTCAAATGTCAGGACGCGCGGGTCGTCGAGGAAAAGATACACGTGGCACAGTTATAATGATGCTTGATGATCGTATCAGTGCAGATGAAGCCAGGAGACTCTTACTTGGTGAACCTGACCGACTGGATTCTTCATTCTATCTAACGAATAATATGATACTTAATTTACTTCGTGTTGAGGATATCAATCCAGAAATAATGCTAGTTAAAAATTTTCAACAATTTCAATGCAGATCTGAATTGCCCTATCTTGAAAAACGTAGGTCTTGACAGTTTCGTTTTTACGTTAGTATATCTTTTCTGTTTTGTTTGTTATCTTACTAATTCTTATCTTTAAACCATTCAGTCTACTGCTACGGTTTAAAACTATCCAGTGTTTATCATCCTTGTTTCAATGCATTTTATTTAAATTGTATTAGACTAATACGACAAATATTAAGTTTTTGCAAATATGATGGTAAAAACTTTAAATCTATCCTAGAGAAACATATATTTATTAACTATTCACAGAAAATAAAGTATATAACTGTTTAAAGGTAATTAAAGGTAATAATTGATTCAAACTGACTTAACTGGTCTCACATTTCAAAATCACTTATCATTTAGCCTTGTCGTGGTTCTTCGCGCTCTCATATCTCAATTGATTTTTTTTCATATAAACAGTGATCATCGGTCGTGCTTGCATATGTATTCAGGAAATCAGGTAGACTATGATACACTTATTATCTGTGTCAGATATATAGCCATATCAAGAAGTAGAGTATATCTTAAAGAATAGCGGATCAGTCGGTAAAACTGGTCTAAAATATCTCATATCTAACAAAGTAGAATAACAAACTCTAACTAAATTGGACTATCAAGTTAGTGTAAGTACTTTAAAAAGACATGATACTTCAATAGATAACTGCGACTTATAGCATCACAAAATGCACTTTTTATTTCATGTTGTCCGACCAGTTAGTAGTTTTTCTACTTCCGATTTCAACTCGTTATTTTCTTATTAATCGCCTCGTTTATATTACCGAGTTAACTGCCATTACTCACTTAACTGGCGTTTCTATTGTTCAGTAAGTTACATTGAAATCACTGTTGAATCCTTCAAATAAACTCATCATTATTAATACTAGCCCGAATTAATGAAATCATAAACGAGTTGTTTATGATTGAATTAACATGATTCATGTTTAAAGTTCAGGATAATTTTTTCTTTCACATTTCTTCCTGTTCGATATTCAGGTTTAAATGACACAGAATCTCTTATCAAAAATATTTGTTTTCCGGAAGATATTGATATGGAACAGCTTGGCGCTTATGTTAAACTTCATCATGCAGTTGCCGTATGTGAAGCTGAGAGGTGGACATTGGTTTCACAAAGAAAAAGTGTTATACCTTTCTTTCAGGCTGGCAGAGTGGTTCGAGTATGTTTACGATTTAAGTGTTCCAACTTAATTTAAAAGTTCATTTCTCTATCGATAAACAAAGGTAAACTGTTTGTCTTTTGATTAGATTCGCAATCTGGACGATTGGGACTTCGGATGGGGAATTGTTGTACACGTAGATCGGTCTGATTCTCCAATAACACATTCTGGGCATCAAAAATCCAACAAAATGTCAGTCATTTGTCTTATGGAAGTTGCTGAAGACCACATCCTACGAAATTCAGATTCTACAAGAAAACCGATTCCTTTTTCGTTTGTGAAACCTGCTGATGGTGTTGATTTTCAATCTGATACTTTTACATCGGTTATCCAGTTAGTTTCTGTTCCTCTAGATTGTTTGTCTGGTATTTCAAGCGTTTGTCTCAAACTAAATTCATTATTGGAGTGCGACAATCAGAATACCGAGCAGTTATGTAACAAGCTTTCAGTTCAACCAGATCATGTAAAACGACGCATTTGGGAAGGTGTTGATCGTGCCAAAGCAAAATTAGGAGGAATACTGCCAGTATTAGATCCTATCAAGGATTTGAATATTAAAGACGATCGTGTGAAACAACAGTGCGAGGTGAGTTTGAACATGAATTCAAACTTTTGATTGTAATACTAAAGTATCTATCATTATTTGTATAGTTTTATTCGTAACAGTTGATGACGCACGTTGATAAGTAAGTTTTAAAAATAGATCATTGTTTACGTTATCGAAGAGTATTTTCGTGATGTACGTGTTGTTTATGCTTCCCGTTGTAATGTAGTTCTATGGGTTATGCGTTTTCCCGTAATGTCATATGACACATGATAATTTCAATCCATTAAATACATTGCAATAATTTATTTCGAATATGAGACAGCAGAGCAGATTGTCACCATCTAGTTGCTAGACGAATATCTTCCCTGCGCCAAAGCGGTATAAGTTGAAAAAAAGTCATTAAAAGTGATTAAAAAAGGGTTCGCATCAATAGGGAACGACAGGGATTTTTATTCTTTAGCCCTAACAACAAATCCCGGCTATAAACATTTTGAAAGGTATTATTGATTTAGGTCTTACCAATATGTGTTCAATATGTCTAAGGGTACACTTTTATCCGAACATCAAAAATAAAGCACTCTGAGAAATCAGTTATCTCCAGCTGTAACCGCAATCGGTTACTAGAGCTCTCTCTGCACATGTTATTAACTTTCATATCTATCTTAGAATAATGACAACCGATTTCATCCTTTTAAAAATTATTAACATTGATGAACGACAGCTTTGAGTAATGCATATTAAGAAAGTGTTAAAAATGGTTCATTAACATGAGGGTATTGTGAATACTGAATTTAAACCACATCTGTTTCAAAGTTGTTCAAGCTGAAAATTCCTTACAAACACTTTTAATGGTAAAAGTTCTGAGAACATAGTTTTCATGCTAACATTCACATTATCCACTTTGGAAGTGAAGTCGAAGACATCTTTTACAATTATTCTAACAACTGATTTGTACAAAAGCTCTAAGATTCGCACTATTGAGTTTATATGCAAGCAAATATCAGAAAAGCAAACCAAAATTGGCTTGCCTAAAGATTGTCTGAAGGAACTGCTCTTAAGATGTACGATGAATATCCATTTCGTCTTCAAAAATTCTGATGACAGCCCACCGTAAACTAGAACTAGAATAGTAATTTTCGAAAAGAAATTCTGTATGAGGTTGGTTTACTTTAGTACATTTCCTGCTACAATTACGTCCGAACGTTCGGTTATTTGAAAGAGAGAGCAAATATCTTTCTGTGAAACTCATTTTCATCTTAGCCTCAGTCAATGGGATCGTAGGCAGAGTCAACAGAGTGTGTCCTTATCTTTCCTTGTTCTTACCGTCCCGTCTAGTCAGACTGCTCACAAGCGACTTTCCACCGAAATCTAGACCAGGAGAACCTGTTCTGCTTTGGAACTCTGTGCTATGCATACGCTAACAAGTTCACGAGAAGTACCGGTCGAGTCTCCAGACACACGAATAGTAGATCATGGTCTTTCTTCATCCTGACTAGGTGAGGTCAAGTGAATGACTACACTTAAATCCTGTATGTGGGTCACGAAGACAGCACAAGATTCTGTAGGTCTAGCTAATGAAGTCTGTTTTGAGGTAAGGTTGGAATGTCGAAAGCCCCAACATATGGTTTAGAGCATGGTTTTAAGAGGCTAGGAATAACATTTTGTGAACTCGGATGGTTAGCATTAATGATGTGTGTGGGTAAAATCATAAGATAATAGGTAGAATAAATTTTAAGCAGTGACAAACGGATTCAAACATGAACAAAAGAATCTTGAGTGCTGATCAAGATTTGTGGACAGTTGTCACTTCGTGCTTCTAAAGGCCTAGCTGTCGGAGATGAAAATCATTCTAACTGCTTCCGTAGTTACGGTGCTTAGTAATTTAAACACCTTTAGTCAAACTCATTCCTGGCGTATTACAAGACGATTTTGGTCCTTTCTTATAAGCCTTAACGATCAGCCCTCAGGTTTAATCAGAAAGGATTACATTCAGCCCAGAAAAGCTTAATAGAATCTGTTAGCTTAGCTTCCTAAACTACACATATTTCCTTAAAGATCCCAGACGTTAATCCGTCAGGATCTCTTAGTCTTTTTAACTGCAATAAATGTTTAGGGACTTGTGTTATCTCGCTTTTAAGGTTTTTGGAAAACAAGTACTGGCTAGTCGAACCGTCGTTTGAAACATTCTGCCCATAGGTATAGTCTTCTAGACTGGGAGCAGCTTGAAGGTCCTGTCTTTTACCGATATGGTCTCACTGACAAGTATCTTTTAATTATTAGTCGGAACAGTTGTCTAGTGTCACCTTTCTTAAGTAGTGCACGTTTTTCGCTGAAAATGTTAGGGTGGATCAGCAGAATAAATATTTCAGCAATGGTAGTACGTTTCGCCTTGTAGTCCGCAGATGTCGATACGTACATACTTTTGTTTTGAACTGTATTCCATATTTGTTAAGTGCAGAGACAGCTGTACGAGGCAACATAAATCAGCAGTCGATGGAAACAATAAATTCACCCATATTATTTTCTTATCACTTCATACAATATCAGCTTCAATCAATTGATTAGTTGAATTTTTCTCAACTCAAAAAATATTTTGAAGTCAATCCAAAAGTAACTGGATAACTAACCTATATAAAATACTTTCTGTATATATCCCCTAAAAGATCCTATGTTTGTCGTGAAAGTTGTCGAAAAATTTCTCATCGTTTTGGTTTTAGACACAATGTAGTAAATCATAATGTGATGTTAACGTGTTTTAAAACCTAGTCTATTTTGTTAATCAGTTACGCTGCTCAGAAATTTCGATGGAGTTTTTGTGGGAAAGATTGCCTTATTGTTAGTTTTATTTACATATATTGCAACGATTGAATTTTTTCAACACTTAATTATATTTATACATTTAGAAACATTTAAAGTCTTAAATGCCATCTGGTTGACATTACATAAAGAGTTCAAAAGATTTGAATGTTATGTAGAGTACATCTAGAGAAAATCATTAGTGCATGATTTGCTTGGTGCAATATGTTTTCAAGCGTGTATCTAAGTAATTATTTACTCAGGTAAAAAACGAATCGTCGTATTTTTTGTTATAGGCGATTAATTTATTGAAAGCACGAATGGCTATGAATCCGATCTCGAAACGATCTGATCTGGACAGTCTTATTGATAGTTTCAATTGGAAAGCTTCTGTAAGTGTTTCAAGTACTTTTTTGTTTACGTTTTTTCATTTTATCTTAAAAATGAGTGTAAATATCCTCCACACTGTAGTCATGGTCACAATTAATATTCGAGGATGTAATATAGGTTGGTAGCGTCGTATTTAATTTCTTAGGATGATTTAGTGTATCATAATTAGTGTTTTCTCTTAGTTGAACGTCTATTGTGTTTTGGTGGCATCATTTAGATCCAAAGTTATCATATTTCTATCAGTTGATTAGCAAACAACTATGAAACTTCATATTTTATTCATAGCTGACCTCTGCTAGTTGGTGCCTTGATGAGAACATAGATACTGCTAAGAAAGACCCAAGTTAATATAAAGCGAAATCTGTTTTTTATCCAAATGTTATGTCAGTCAGCTACAACGTAGGACGAAGCACATATATCCATCGGTCCAAGTTGCAACATCTCATTAGCACAACAAGATGAACACCGAATTCATAAAGGTGGTTACTTGAATGGTAGTAATATATAAAAGAGAGATATAAAGCAATTTTGATCTCACAGTTTAAGGGAGGACAAAGAGTGTATACACCTACGCCATTGTGGTCGATTCTGAGCCATGTCGCCCAGAGTCTCCGATCATTGGTTACGATAGTCGTGCGCACCCCAACTGTTATATATTACCTGATTATTGGTTATTAACTATTTACAGCAGATATGCTTTATCTTTTAGCTATTTGAGTGAGATCTAAAATATGTTAAACCACTCCATGATAATGACTTGTAAGATATTTTTAATTGTCGAACTTTTAATGCAAGCTTGTTTATCAGTTTCTCTTATTGACTTATTCTCAAAAGGGCTTCGGTATATTATTTTTGCTTCAATGCCATTTCTTTAGTAGTAGAATTTAGTAACCATCTCTGCACACAACTTTTATTATCTGTTTGCTTCAGATAATAATGTTTTAAGAATTGCTTAGTGTCTGCATTCTGAAATTATTCAATATATTTTTCATTTTACTCTCCTTTTCTTGAATTTGAGGACTGTTTTAATCACTTTATAATCAAACATTTAAGTATCTAAATTTTACATCCCTTGTGGATTCATTTTATTTACAGAATTTACGGAAACTCGAAGACATTCGTGAACGTATAAGCAGAACAGACTCACTTTCACATTTTGACGAGTTGCGTGCAAGAAAAAGACTTTTGCGAAGACTTTTTTTTTGTTCAGAGGATGATACAATTGCATTAAAAGGTCGTATTGCTTGTGAAATTTCAACTGGTGATGAATTGATGCTGACTGAATTGCTGCTAGATGGGTTCTTTTCACAATTCTCACCAGTTCAACTAGCAGGTGTCATGTCATGTTTTGTAGCAGAAAAACAAACAAAACATCGCATGATAAATCTGAGTCCTGTTATGAAGAAGGCTATAAAAACTATCCACGTACGTTTCTCACTGCTATTTATGATAACCTCGCCAGTATGATATTCACCAATCGAAACTTAGCAGACGTAAGCTCAAATTAGTTGATAGGTTTTCTCAGTTATAGATGTGTCTTCAATCAACCACATACAATCATATTGTGTAAGCCAAATTAGATGGAGGAAAAAGACGTGGGTAGAAAATATGATTTCACGAGTATTTAATATATATTGTACGTACCCATAGGGATTCAAAAGACCCAAACTTTTTGCATGTAAGGATTCATCTTTTACCAAACGAATGGTATCATTTGCTGTACATTAGTTTACCACACAAATTTGGTGCTTTGTTAGCTTCAAAATATCTCTCTTGTTTGTTCGATTTATCAGATGTTCACTTTTACAATAATTTGAAAGTAGTTTTTAATTATCAGATATCAAATAAATTATTGCTCCGGAGATTTCAGAAATCGCTTTCCCATCAGTATTTACGATAAAATTGTTTTTAATACCTATACATAAATTCGATCAATTCAGTGTAGTTTGCAAGAAATATAACTAACATTTTAAAAAGTTCGAGGCTGCTTGGTTGTTCACATCCTAGCAAGGTGTTGTAACAAGAACTATAAATTCGGCATTTCTCGGACAACTGATATGATGTGATAACTCAAAGTGATGTTAGTTCTCGAACATTGGGTGGATTCCAGTCATGTCAATAGGTATTAGTCAACACCAGATAATTTATAGAGGTTTTACTTTTGGTGGCTATGGCTTCCCTATTGTTTTGCTACCTTTTCTTTCCACCGCAAATTTTTTCACTACTTTTAATAGCATAATCTTGCATATTATCAATCTTTAAAGGATAAAGCAAGATATCTTGCAAAAATGTCTGCCGAATGTAATATTAACACGGGCCATAGTAGTGAGAAACAATTAACAACTTTGTTCCAAAGTCTCGAAAATAACAGAAATAATCTTTTGGATGATGAACAAGCTTATGTTAATCGTTTCGTCGGTGATTTAATGGATGTTGTATGTGCTTGGGCTGAAGGTGTCAGTTTTTCTCGACTTTGTGAATTGACAAGTGCATTCGAAGGTAGTGTAATTAGATGCATCAGAAGACTGGAAGAACTTCTATGTCAAATGCATAATGCAGCAAAAGTTGCAGGAAACTCAGAGTTGGAAAATAAGTTTTTAGAAGGTATGTTTTTTCCCTTTTATTGTGATGCGCGTTTTACATTTCGAAATCTAAGTAATATGTTGGAGTTAATGATAATAAAATTTAGGTTAGGTCTTAAATTACACTTGTCTAAGCTGGTAATACTATTTATTTTTCAAAATGTAGATATAAATATTAATAAAAATTTATTTCGTCAAGCAATCAATATTTCAGAAAACAGCATCTTAAAGTCATTAATAGTATTTGATAAAGATTCATCAGCTAATTATTCATCGTCATCCAATCTCACTGATCGTTTTTAGAGTGAATATAGTCTACTTTAAAATGTCTAATGAACAAAAAATGCAGTGTTCATAACAGTGAAAATATTTAACGTAAAATATTGTGAACCGCTTTTAATCTCTCAAGGTGTATAGTAGTACTGGAAATATATGTTTTCTTCCTAGGCTTTGTTATGATTTTATGTCCAGCTTTTTATCACGTGAATTATCCACCAATCGAAATTCGACTTATCCAATTTAACACTGTGCCAAATCAATGACGTTCGACCAGTATGAGCAGTCTAGCGTCCTTATTGGTCGTTTGTCCGCCTAGCTCTTCTAATAGAGTCCCAAAACACCAATTACAGCTTCTACCATATGAATCATTTATTTCGAGCATACTCGGTTTATATACCAGATAGACAGACCGCAACACACCATAAAATAGAAAACAATATTTGTACAAGATCAAGTCAAATGCGGCTGTGGACTTCGATGTTATGTTATGAGACTGAACATAATTTGAGAACAGTAAGTCGTATAATAATAGGTTATGGGTCAAAATGAAGTTTATGATAAGCGGAATATAGATATACATAATCTAGTTACTGAACAGTTATACAATAAGAATATATAGAGAATAAGAGTCCATTAGTAGGTCCTGAAAGTTACCTGTACTTATGTCTTCACTACAATATAACAGGCTTATACATATATATTTAAATTTCTTTTCTTTCAGCCGTAATCCTAATCAAAAGAGATATCATTTTCTGTGCAAGCCTATATCTTTAACAGTTGTCAAAAAGAAGTGTACAGATCTTGACAATAAAAAAGATTCAGTATTTTGGATGACTTTGGTCTTCTATACCTTATCGGACCGGTAATGAGGTTCATCGTAAAACTAAATCAAACGTCTCATCCTAGAGGCACGACGTATATTTGCCAAGATTAAATAACACACCGATGAAGAAAAATATTCTCATCATGTATTAAACTTCAAAATTAATCGTCCCAATATACTGTTAATAAACTCCTCTTAAAACAAAAATGATACAAACCAGAATTGTAAGACTATATTCAAAAAAGTGGTAGATAGTCATAGGAAGCAAGTTAGAAAGAAATCCTAAAAGTGGATCACTTCTTTTTAAAAGCCCGAATAATGTACTGTTTTTCGGAAAATAAGTGACGAGTTAAATACTCCTTACTGATATTACAAAATATGAGCTAACAAATCTATTTGAAATTAATATGGCGAGTCAATGAGACCGTGTGGGTGAGAGACGTATGGTAGACAATAAATTGTTTAGTTGAAATCATGAACCGATCTAAGGTAGACTACCATTGAAAACCAGTAAGCACTGGACAGTCTAACTTAGGTCAGTTCATGTCTTCAGTGAAACAATCTCCACAACCCTATATTATAAATAAATTTATTAAACAGAGTCAATGTTCAAGCTGTTGCCAATTGAGAATGTATGGGAAAAGTGTAAACGTTATTCATCCAACTTTCAAATTTTTCCATCGGTTTCTTGTTCAACCTTATCAAATTAATTCATTACCAAATTTGCGAACCGTTCGTTAGTGTTATTCGGCACACAATTCCTGGCAGATGACACATTTTGCACTGATTCAAATCAGCCCCTCGATAATACATTTCAACTTTAACAGAAAATAGAGGTTGAAATTACTAAGCAATTAAGCAAAAATGTTTGATAGATGTATGATATGTCTTGAACTCGCTAACAGACATGCTTATTTTGAAACTTTAACTGTTGTAAATGATAATACTCAACCGCCTATGACAGATTTACCAACTTTTGGGTAATTAAGTTATTAAATTGTAAAAGAGGGACTACACAACTGACCAAGTTGAAAAAAGACTACACACTTTTTCCGCAGTCAGATTAAGTTTGTTCAGGGAAGTGCTAGAGAATTTTTAGTGTGAGCAACTTTTAAGACTAGGCGATAAATATCCTTAACAATCACATCGGCATAACTACGCATTATGATGGGTAGGTATTCAATCGTTCTTTTTTGATTACTTTCATTCTTGATTATTCATTTCTTAACTTGGACGTTATAGGTTAACTTTTTTGCCCACTCGCGGTAATTTTGAGGCGCTGACTTTCAAAATCTTTAACACTTGAACAAAACCAGTAGGCGGGAGTATAAGATAAACTTTATTGTTAAGATATATAAAATATATTGTGACAAATGATCTCTGAGTACCAGAGACTTACAGAAAGAAATCATATTATTAATGACTTAATGCAATAGCAATCGAACTTTGTAGAACTTTGTTGTTTTCCAAATCTGTAGTGATTTTTTAGTATAACTTTCTCATTATCATCCACCAATGTCAGTGATATTTTAAACTATTTCTGAGCCGGATTTTAACGTCGATGAATCATTTAATTTACCAACCAGGATCGGCAGTGAGAAGTATAAAAGATGTTTATAAATCAGTGTATTTTATTTTACAATGACTGCAGCTACAAAAGTGTATCATCGTGTTCCGTTTGTAAAGCATCGTGAGTGAATGTTATTTTATAAAATGATTACATTTAGAAATCACCATATAAATCCGAAAATCTGCTTGAACTTTTCTCTATCCAATATTTCCGATTTCACATTAGTTAGCAGGAAGGTTCGTTCAATACCCAAATGTTTTGTTGAATTAGGATTTGCATTAATTGTCCCAACACGAACGTAACTATTTTTTTCTGGTGTTTCAATAAGATCTGATGGTGGGACTATTTGACCTGAATTCAAAATTGTATTTTGACGTCTTCCCCAAAATGTTAAATGTCCGATGCGTACCAGACCAGACTCTCTGTGAATACTAACCTGAAATAAAATTGGCCAGAAAGCAATTGTAAGGTATCTAAAGGTCATAGTGATCATTCTCAAATTTTCAATTCCTGACCGTATAGACCTACAGACAACTATTACAAAAAACTTATTCCCTAAATTTCCAAAGAAAAATCTTTATGTTCAAAATCTAATGTACATGAGATATAATAACGAATAAGTTTTCATCATATTGGTTTATAAATATCGGATGCTCACTATAATGAAAAGCCTGACGTAAGGAAACAAAGCATTTCAAATCTACGGCCGAAAACCGATTTCTGGTTACTTAGAATACGCTGTGGATATTTACAGCAAATCATTCTGACTTGAAGACATTCAATACGTTAACTGATGCTCACTATAAACTTGGATGTGATGAATTTCGGGTTGTCCTTATTGATTAGCCGCCAAAGATAATGACCTATATGAAATAGAATAAGAATGGTCAGTACAGGATGATTTGTACTGTAAAGTGCAGAATAGTGTTTGGAAAACTGATAATATTTCTATGTTGATTAGAATGGATCAAACAATGTTCCTATAAGAACTAAAAAAGGTTTTTTACAGGAGAAATCTTATATATAATATAAAGTATGATTTACTTACGACTCCCACAATTTTTATGCTGAGCCAACTGAAAATAATCAAACTGCACAGGGAAAACGCAGCAGAACCCAAAGCTGTGCAAACTAATGAGGAAGAAGCTTGATCATGTAGATATTTGTAGATAACTACTGGACAGCCAGAAATCAATAAGCCAGTTAATATAATTTTTAACTGTGAGATCGCCTAGAAAAATAATAATGAGTTAAATGAACAATACATCGTCTGGTCATCAACACTTTAGATGTTACTAATTTCGCGTAAAAGTAAATTAAATATGTGCATCTTTTGAATGTCTACTGGCAAGTTTTAAGATAAGGAATAAGTTCCGGTTTCCAAAAACCGACCAACACTGGATATTGTTGCAGTAGTGAGTGTTTAAAACATTTATTATGTTCTGTAATAATACTGCAACTTATATGAATGCTCACTTATGCAATGTGAGATTTTTAAACTGTTCCTACACTTCATCAATTATCGTTGGACTCCTGTCTTAAGAAATCTTGCGGCTTTTGAAAAACTGAAAGGGTTAAGAAATATTCACAATTCTGCTTATGACTGGACCACGGTAAACCACTTTGGCACGAATATGAACCACCTAAAATCTATCAGCACAATCAATCTCTAATATACTTTGAATAAAACATGTAAGGAGGTCTGATAACATGTTGCCGATCCTTGAGAAACTGGACTACATGCTTAATATACATTTCGTGCTAGTCATTTAATAATGTTTTAAATAATTGAGAACAGACCTGGAAAAAAGCTATCGAACGGAGACGATATATGGGTACCCAGGATTCTTTTTTATCACCAAATAATTCTGTTTTGTTTTCTGAATGTAACAAACGAGTTTGCAAGCTTGAACATTTTGGAAATCTCAGGGAAAATAGTGATGATTGCGAAAGCAGATAGGAACACGAATAGAATTTGTTAAATCTGCCAAACATCGGTATTTTCATCTTGGATAAACTAAATACAAAGCACAGGTCCATTGCAACAGATGTTTCTTTTTTAAAAATACATTCTATATAGTCTGAATAAATATGAGAAAAGGTTTAATTAAACTATCAATACACGAGTAAAAGGTGCCCGGATATGGATATGTTTGGGATATCTGCCACCTGCAATAACCATCTTTATAGTGTAATAAGTGCGAATACCTGGTTAATTTGTTTGTTACAAATGGGATACGGCTATTTAACGTGAATTCGAAACTAACAGTGAGTTGAATGACAATTATTTGAATAATTTATGGATAGAGATATTTTTAATAAATTCAGATAATCCGATTGAACAGGTGACAACAAAAGGGAAAAACGGATTCCACCACTTTATAGACGTAGTTCCTTGTCACGGTAACTTTTCGACCGTTAAATGAATGGAGTGTTTGCATGCTAGAAGAGGATATGTAGGCTTCTTTTATCAGCATCAATTAAGTAACATTCGGTCCGGATGCATTTAAGCTATCAAAATGAAAAACAGTGGTCCTAACAAGCAAAGATTAATATCATCCAAGTTTTCTTAAGAGGTTTTATTTCTACTTGTTTTAGTTCTGTATCATAGCTACGTGTATTTTTGGAGCCATCCATGTTTGAGACAATAATTCATTCCCACAGTAAATTATTTGTAAGCTACATCAGTCGCTATTTAAAAATCTTAGTCTTAAAATGACGAAGTCCCATATTATGTCTGTGTTCACTAAACTAGGGAAAACAACACGTAGGAAACTAAGGAGCTGAACACCTAGAGTCACGACTGATACGTTGTAATCAAGATTTTCTTTTGAACAAGATTGAATCGATATCTCTACCTCTCATCTTTATGATTAGTTTAGTTTTTTCACGAGTAAAATCACCGTCCCTACAAAATATCACTGCTATGTTGAGTCTTATTCTTTACTTGGGAGTTCATGTATTGATTCCTCTAAACTGAAGAGCTTGACAGGTTGTTCGAAGGACGTGTTGAGGAATAAAGTCCTAGATTACAAGAATATCCCAATGACAGGTTCCCTTCAGTAATTATCCATTGATAATATGCTAGTTCAATTGTCCGATCATTTCAAACACTTGGAAATCACAGTGCTTGGGTGAGTAAACCACACTCGAGGGCTGCTTAGCGCGAATGATTGTTTTGTTAGTATAGAATAGAGACATTCCTCATTACAATGATTATATCATGCGTACAACATTTTGTATAGACACGAAACTTTAAGGCGCACAGTTTAGTTACCTTGCCAACTAAACCACTCACACACAGGCTGCCATCAAATAGAATTGACAGTTGCCCCCCACAAGATTATATTCATATATCTTTGAAAGAAAGTACAACTATGT